TTTGTGTGTGTGTGTGTGTGTGTTTGTGTGTGTATTACCAGGGAGCTGGTCTTGATAATAGAGAATATAGAGCTGAGTATTCCAGAGCAGATGAGCAGCTCTTTCTGCTGCCTCAGATGCAGATGGATGTGATGTAGGACCACAGGAAGCAGGATCCTTCGAGACTCTGAGGACCCACACACACACAAACACACACACACACACACACACACACACACACACACACACACACACACACAGTTATGTATGTATAAAAACACGAACAAGAAAAAATGATCTTTATCACTGTTTGTTTTCATCTTTTGTTTGTTATTTATCAGGATTCTACAAAACGTTTGGACAAAATTCCACAAACGTTGGTGTAAGGAAGTGCAGCCAGCCACCAGGGGGCGATCAAGATGATCTGGCTTCATCTTTATTCACGGCCCATACACCGATCAGACAATCTCTACCTGGGAATGAGAAGAGCCGGCTGTCCACAGTGCGGGCGATGGACTGCAGTTTGACCACGTCCATGGACTGTCCGATGTGCACGGTGGACGGCATGCTGCCCAGAGTGCCGCGCACAAACTCCGCCACCTCCTGCACCGTGAACATCTGCAGCAGCTCGTCAAAGATGGCCGGGAACGAGTTGAGCAGAGCGGCCTGAGGAGGAGGAGGAGGAGGAGGAGGAGGAGGAGGAGGAGGCGGGAGAGGAGAGGGTGAGCGAGCGTGACAGATGACGACGAGTCGACGTGAACTCAGTGAAGAGCTGAATGTTTTCATCACCACGATCACCTTCTTTCAAATGAAGAGGGTTTTTGTTTAAAATTTCATGAAGTAAAATTAATTTTTAAAATTTCAGCTTTTCACTGGTTTACACAAACAGGTGAGCGGACAAGGAACAAGACTTTCAGGGGGAATCGTTAGTGGATTAGAAATAAAATCATTTGACAAAACTCTTGGAAGTGAAGAAGAACTGTGAGGGAGGAGTGAGAGATGTTAATTCATCATTCAACAAAAACACACAGCACAGGAACAAGTGTGAAAAACCAAGATACGCTTTAATAACTGTGACTGTGGATCAGGGCCGAGCAGAACGAGAGCTGATGGTTGTTACTGGACACAAACATGTTTCATAGGTTAAAACCATAAACTGAATAAAGATGGACGACACGTCTGTGCAGTGTCACTCAACCAATCAAATGTCGGGCTGAGGACGCCTGTTTTTATTTCATTAAATATTATTAATATTAAATAACTAATTAAAACCAAACATCCACATCAGTGTGATATTGTGATAATTACAAAATTTATAACAAAATAAATTGTAAAACTTATCGTTCCATTCTATTCCATGTGTAACACACACACACATGTATCTATAAATACAG